ACGAACCTTAGCATTTAAGAGACGCTCAACATGGTTTTGAACAGTTTAAAAGATGCTCTCAACATCAGACTTATGTTTGATCAAATATATCCAACAATAGTGACTATAGTCATCAATCAAGCTGACATAGTACTTAAAACCCCCGGAAGAGGGTGAAGCAGGCCCCCAAACATCGGTATGAATAAGCTCAACTGGTGATGTACAAACACGAGTAGAATAATTATACGGTAATTGGTGACTCTTAGCATGCTGACAAGCATCATACACGGAAGACTCAATGTTTGGAGAACACGACAATTTATTGGAACTAACAATGGTGTGAACTATTTTATTTGAAGGATGACCAAGACGCCGATGCCACTGTTCAGTAGTCAGTATAACGCCGGAAGACGCATGATGTCCAGAAGTTATGGCACGGCTGAAAGAAACAGGGTAGAGGCCGCCACGACTCCTGCCGCAAAGAAGGATTTTCTTCGTGATCTTGTCCTTGACACAGAAAAAGAATTATGAAACTCAACGAAGATTTTATTGTCAGAGACAAGGCGATAGACAGAGAGCAAATTTTATTTGCTGCAGTTAGCCCCAACCGTCTGGCATCTCTTTATATTGATAGATCAACTTGTACAATAAGGAAATACAGCGGTATGCAACACGTACACGTATACACAGAAAATACAAAACAAAAACAAGACAATATAGAGAGATAGAAGAGAAGCACAAGACAATCCACCCAAGGTGCATTACAGGGTGCCATCAGCTCGTCGTCATGCATGAGCAAAGTAGTAGCCAAACACCAACCCCCCAACACCCCGGGCCTCGACGAAAGACCAGACAACATCACCTCGCCCACGCCAAGTTGTTGCCCCGACCAAGAATGAAAGTGAAGAAGTCACATATATAAGGTATGAGGTTAGTGAGACCGCCCACACCAAAACTGAAGAAGCTTTGAGCTATAATCCAGGCCTAAACATAGTCCATGACACAATGCACCCGCAAGGTACCATGAAGGTCGCGAAACCCATAGGCATCACTGAGGTCGGCGATGAAGGGCGGAGCTTCGCCCCAAATCTCACCCATGCCACACCGAGGAACAGAGGTCGTTGAACCACCCCGAGTGAAAGCACGCTGCAACCAAGTCAAGGCATCCATATCCCCGTTACTACCACTGGTAGCGGCCATGCCAGGATCACCCGCCGATACACCCCTTCATCCCACACAACCGAGGGAAGTAGTCACCACCACCACCACCATTTCACTCGTCAGAGAGATAGTCATGCATCCCACCATCCAGGGCCACCTCCCCGGCATCCAAGACCGCCATCCACCATCGTCAGAGCACAAGGACACCACCAACCACAACCAAGATGGGTCGTCGTCAGAGCACAAGGGCATCACCAACCAAGATGGGCAGTAGGCCTCTCCTTCCACCCCCAATACGAGCACTACATAACGGATGGAGCAGGGCTAGGGTAGGGCTGCACCGAGACCTACCCATGAGCAAAGAGGGGGCCCGGACGGGGCAGGGACAGGCCACTGGCAGCCGCCAACAGTCCACCCACACGACACCATCGAGGACTCGGGCCACTAGGGAGCCCGACCTAGGGCCTCCAGACCTTGACGATGGCAAGACCCAGAGGTCCGTTGCCGATCCCTAGGGTGCCCCTTGCCACCACCGACTGTGCCTGCCATCAAAAGCTCCCCGCGCCATCGTTGGCCAATAGGAATTGCCACCAGCGCCACGACTACGCAACTCAAAGGAGGGGGAGGTCACCACACAACCACGAGCAGGACCCCTTTGCTACCGTCGACCATGCGACGACACAGGGGAGGGAGGAGGGGAAGAGAGGACTGATGACTAGGTTCGGAGTCGCCTCCCGTGTCGCCCACGTGGGGGCACTTTTTTCTGCCGAGTGCATGGTGAGAAAATTCTTGCACAAGGGGAATATTTTGTATTGACGTGAAGAAAAAAGCAACAAGGAATCAGAATTTCCTGGCACAACCCCATTAGATGAAATGCTTACCATGACCCGACTAATAACGACGCACACATCCGCCGCCCCCGTGGCCACTGGATATGATTTGATCGGATGGTTCGGGTGGCAGCCTATTGACATACTATAGGTTTGCAACTAAGCTACTATTGCAATCTCCCCCACCTCAATGACTAGGTTGTTGCACGATCTGGATCTCATGCGACTCGTTGACTACCTCCTTTGTACTCAACGTGTTTCCTGTGGGGTCACTCGATTGTGGGGCAGTTGCGACAACATCTTTCATTGCATTCTACAACATCATCCATGTTGCAAAACTCATTTCTGCAACATCATCCACATTGCAAATCTGCAACACAACCACTATTGCAAATATTTTTTGCAACATGAACTCTATTGCAGAAAATGCTATGACACCGTCTTTGTTGCAATGATAAGGATGTGGCTGGATCATTCGACGATACCACATCTAGCGGCTGCCAAGGCGGCAGATCTTGTAAAAGGATCCGCCCGCTAACGTGTAGCACGGCCGTTAGATGGTACGATTGGCACAAGCCCAATTAGATGATACGAGTTGTACACGTTTCGACCACGTCAACTTCCATGAGATACTTAACGGCACCAAATCATCCAATCCTCACTTTGTTCTTGTTAAGGTTTTTCTTATTCTCCTCATGCTAGTCTGGGTAATCTGTCTAAAGAATGTGCTAGCAATGTGGCTAATTATTACTGTGCTAAGGGGGAAACTACTGCTAAAAATCTTGAAATGAATTCAATGAGTTCTTTCGTACTACCTGGATGTGTACTACTCGAGCTATTAGTCCTTCTCAGTACATTATGATGATGTTAGGTTGTTTGTTTACCGTATAACTATTTGCGTTGTCATGTTTTGTCCCGTAATGGGTGTTTCGATGTCGAGCACCCGTAGCGGGTTTCCTGGCAATGCACTAGCTCGCCTCCCCTCTCTTTCCCTCCTCCTATCTTGCTTGTAATATGTCGGGGAAACTGATCCACGAACACCTATGGGACCGACGGACCGAGCCCCTTTCAGTTCGGCGGGGGGCGGAGATCGCACGAAGAGCAGATCGAGGCGAAGCACACAAGCAGTTTACCCAGCTTTGGAGCTCTCCGGAGAGATAATACTCCTACTGCTGCTTGTCTGATTGTATTGAGTTCTTGCTCAGGAGCGCTGAGTGCTATAGTACACTCTAGCTGCTAACGAGACCGAGCGTGAGTGTTTTCTGGCTTCGAACCTCTCCGAACCCCTCTCTACGTTGCGCATGGGCCTCCTTTTATATGCTCAAGGGGTCACCGACAGGTGGCAACGTAGATAAGGATAAGAATGGAAAAGGACTTGCGGTTGGTACAGCTACCTGTACAGTGTTTCCTACCTAACCCTGACGGCAGGGGACAAAGGCATTAAATGCCCGTCTATGTCGCCCAAAACAGTGCAGAAAGGGACCGTCAGGGGCGCCACTGCTCGCCACGATGGCGATCTTGTCAGCGCCGTTTGCCACCGCGCACTGCTGGCTGCACAGCCTCTCGCCACGCGCGCCTGGAAAGGCCCCAGGGCGACACGTTGGTGGATGCGCTGGAGCGTAGGTACATGGTGGTAGCGTGCCGCGGCAAGTGCCTTGCCGCGGTCGTTGTCTTGTCGCGTCCGGAGGCTTGTCGCTCCCCGGGCCTTGCCGGGACACGTGGCGTGTCGCGGCAAACTCCTTGAGATGCCTTGGTGGGCCTTCCCGGCAAGCTCCTCTTGCCGGGGCCTTGTCTCCTTGGCTTGGATACTTTGCTATTATGCCTTGTATGGCCTTCCCGGCAAGCTCCTCTTGCCAGGGCCTTGTCTCCTTGGCTTAGATACTTTGTTCTTGAATGGCTCCACGGGAACCGCGGAGGACCTTGGCGGTCACCCGGCAAGTCTTGCCGCGGGTGGCTGCAACTGCCCGTGCACAAGTTCGGGATACTAGGGTACCCCTATTCTAGTACACCGACATAATACCGGTGAACTTTGTATTTCCGTTAAGCCAGTAATGGAAAGGGGAATGCCCGGTTGAAAAAACAAACAAAGAGACTGAACAACGAAGCAGACGCTCAATTCTCTTTTCCCAAGACATGGATGAGTGGATCGACAGCATCTGCATTCCCGATAGATTGTTATGGAATCGTTTCTCAAATCATCGATTAATTTATGTACCTGATTTTCGATGGCAGAAAGATCACCCCGGGCATCCATGGACGAGGAAGATATTATTCTTAGGAATCCCCTTTTATATGTTTGCCGCCGAAGAAATTGCCCTCTCATGCAGACACCACCCAATCTTGTCAGTCATGATTACATTTTCCCTTCGGAGGGACAGGGAGAAACACATGATTGCATCCTACGGTCTGTCTCGCTGAACCAGATGAAATAGGTCAGTGACACAAGAAACATGACGCTTCCTTTTCTCTCAAGAGAAAACAGCCTGTGCAATCAGAGTGACAGAACTGAGGTAGACTACTGAACTACTAGTACTGCATAACGCAAATTTGTGCTGACTGCCAAGTGTCAACGCATCACAAAAGCCACCTGGCAGAGCTGAGCCAGGCTCGCTCCTGGAGCTATCATCAGAGAGCACCAATACAACGCTGCTAGCCTACAATCGCATCATCAGGCGCATCAGAGACATCTCTCAGTGGAAGAATGCAAGCAGTAAACCAGTGCGAGTCAGCTAACAGCACGTCCAAAGCAAAATCCCGGACAAAAAGATACCAATGAACAAGCTGCACAAACGATATGTAAAAAACCAGAAAAACACGCCATCTCAACAACAATGGCGACAACAAACACCCACGCCTGACAACAAGTAGCATGAGATGATGAGCACAATCTCAATACGACTATAAATGCGCAGCACCGGTCAACCACCTGGAAACGCTTAATGAGTTCCCACGTCTCAGGCTGTGGAAGTAGCTGAGAAGAGCCTGTGCCTGCAACACATACATATTCTTAGCAAAATGAGTTTGCAGGTGTTTTACTTCAAGATATAAATTTTGTTGTAGAAAGTGGCAGACCTTTTCTCTTGCTCGCGGTGTTCCTGACTGTGACAGTGCGGCTAAAGGGGGCACGGCGCCCTCTCTAAGAACTACGCTGCAAGATCGGCTGCTGTTTGTGCATAGCTGAAGCAATGCCGCGGTAGCATTTTCCTTCCCTCTCGCTGAACCCAGTTCGACAACTTCAACAAGAGCTGGAATACCTCGCGTCTCCCAAATCGCAGTTCTCCCTTCTGGTATCATAGCAAGACTTGCCAAGACAGCAACAGCTTTGCCGGTCATTCCAAGAGCAGGATCCATTAGCTGAACTAGTTGCTTCACCGCATCAGCTTGCACAATGCGACCCTTGTTCTCATGAAGTATGGATAAATGAGACAATGCAATAGCTGCATCTCTCTTTCCTTGCGGGGTCCCACTTACCAGCAAGTCCACGAGAGGCTTGATGGCACCAGACCGCCCGATCCTCACTTTGTTTTCTTCAGTAACCGAGAGACTGGACAAAGTAGCTGCTGAATTCTCTTTAGCTTTAGGGTTCCCTGTTTCCAGGACATGGATGAGAGGATCAACAGCATATGCATTCACGATGGCAATCTTATTGTTATCACTGATGGACAGATTGAGGAGGCATGTCACTGCATTTTCTTGGACCTTGGCATCTGGTGAATGAAGAAGACCAACCAGCAAGTTTATAGCCCCACAATCTGCAATGACCATCCTGTTCTCCATGTTGTGCTTAGCTAGAAGGCGAATCTCTGATGTCGCTGATCTTTGACATTCTATGGAATCGCTTCTCAAATCATCGATTAGCTTGCGCACCTCATTCTCAATGGCAGAAAGATCACCCCGAGAATCCATGGATGAGGAAGATATCATTCTGTCAGATGTTTGCCGACGAACAAATTGCCCTCTCATGCAAACATCACTTAGCTTGCACACCTGATTCTCGATGGCAGAAAGATCATCCTGGGCATCCATGGATGAGGAAGATATTATTCTGGGGAATCCCCTGTCAGATGTTTGCCGGCGAACAAATTGCCCTCTCATGCAAACATCACTTTATCTTGGCAGGATAAGCCTCAATGTGCTTATCCTATCACATTTTGCACGCAGGGTGTTGTCCATGCTGACATTGAAGCAGTGACGAATGTCAAGGGACTCAAGGTGGCGGCAATTATCCAGGATGGCTGTCAGTCCTTTATTGGTCAGGCGATTGGCAAATAACTGCAAAGAGCGTAACTCATGCATAATTGCAATCCCCATGGCTTCGTCATCCCTGTCATTGTCGCAAGCTTCAAAATCATAGAACACGTCCTTATTCAGTCTGAAGTGCTTCAGTTGTGGGCATGCTTTGCCAACAACCCCAAACACACCACTCTCACCCACATCTGAACACAATGAAAGCTCGAGCTCCTCGAGCAAAGGGAATTTCACTATCATCTCCTTGAGTACATCAAAATTATAGCGAGAAATGAGGCGATGACTCTTAAGAGAAGGTGCCCTGCAAATGTAGCACTTGGATCTCAATAACCAATAAAAATATGCCACACATATAGAAAGACATAAGCACCCTGTATAAAACAGTTAGCTAAATTTATGTTTCGACAGACTTGCAGAGCACGTATAGAACATTTCATAAATTCAGATAGCTGCATAACATCATAGGACACAGGTACATACTTAAAGAGGTCTGGTGACAATTCAATTAATGATTAATTGTTAGATTTGACAGAAATTTCAGGGATGCTAAGTTTTTTATGCCTGATCGCAGGATGCAAAATTAGAATAAATTCTGCACTCCAGCATATGAAATCAGTTGAGTGTATTCTGTTCAACAATCAACATAACTCAAAGTCTCAAACCATTGGTAATGGGACTGTTTCACTGGAAAATACTCAGAAGCCCTAAAAGCTAACTCACAACTGTATTGTGTTTCAAACCAAACCAAAGAATACTTTTCCCCGCTGTATTAACAAACCAATATATGAAGAACTCGGCTGACTTAATTCTTAGTTGGCAAGCCAATGCACAGGTTGACGACGGGACATCAATTTTTGGTTAAGAGAAACTCAGCAGAGTAAAACTTGAAATGTCAGAATCATCCAATTACTGCAAATATTCTATTCTCCCAATTAAGTATCACTAAATTTTACGAAGCTGCAGACAACATGAAGGCAGTATGGTGTAAGGAGTAATGCACAATGATAGGTTTTCTCTAGCGCTTTGTCTTTATCAAACTAAGAATAGTCACTCCTCTTACTGAAATATACAGTATATAAATTCAAGAAAATAACTAATGTTATAAGTCTAAAAAACATTATAAAGCGACATACTAAAAGCCGCTGTCGGCATCAAATCAGAAACCACATAATTTTCAGTCATTTGATTCCATAGCACAGCACAGCAAAATTGCATGATTCCTACCAAAGAAATAAATTTACAGAACTTCTCCGCAATGAAAGGTACACATAAATTGTAAGGGATTGGAACCGAAACAGAACATATAGGCAATGCCTAACAAATCAAAACGAAAGCTCCTAAAACAAGAAGGTGGTGTGGGGGGTGGTTAAAAGTTCTCACTGGTCAGCGAGGAAGAGGAGAAAGTCGTGGTCGTCGGTGTACTCGCCCCAGAACGCCTCGCACCTTCCCGCGCTGCGGCGGACGGCGGCCTGCGCCATCCCGTGGAGGTTGAGCTCGGGGGAGAGGTCGGCGTGGCCAAGCATGTTGATGCGGCGCCATAGCTCGGGCTCGTCGCGGGCGGCGCCGCGCCAGGAGCGGCACACCTGGCCGGCCCCCATCAGGATGTTGACGTGGTCGAGCTTGCGGAGGATGGTTGAGATCGCGTCCAACGCATGGTTTTCACTTTCAGTGAGATTTCACTGTAATTCACTGAATTTCATTAATTTCAGTAGACACTGAAATATTATGTTTCGGTCAAAATATTTCAGCAAATTCAGTAGTACACATGAAATCAAATATTTTTCAAAATACTTTTTGAAAATTTCAAATATTTAATTAAATTCAAATGAATATTTTGGCCTTTTGGCTGAAATGCAAACTGAAATAACTAAATTTCACTGAATTTCAGTGATTTCAGTTGGTGCTGAAATTTTGTTGAAACTGAAATTGAAAACCATGGTCCAACGGCAGCTCCGCCCAGTTCCTCATCTCCTCCTCCACCGGCACAAACGAGGGGGAGGAAGAGGGCATCGCGCGCGCTAGGTGGGCTGCGACCCTTCGTGCAGCGCGGGGAAGAAGCTGGGGGCGTTTGACCAGTACAGCTCCTGCGCTGCCTTGCGGGCCTTGCGGTCAAGGAGGAGCACGCGCTCGAGGTAGTAGTCGTCGTCGCAAGTCTCCGGCGAAGTCGCCGTGTACGAGCGGGAGACGGCCGGCGTCAGGGAAAGGAGCGAGGAACCGGTTCAGGTGGGGAATTCGACTATTTTGCACAAAAATCCCCGAAAAAATTCCCTCCGTCTGAAAATACTTTCGAGAAATGGACGTGTCCAAACACAACGAGTAAGGGCATCGTCTCCAACGGCAACCTGCAAATTTTCTCCCACATCCGTCCACGAATAACGGGACCAGGCCGTGTACACAAATACAGGAGGCCGCCATCCAACCGTAACCGCATACATTTCAACCTGCATTTAAACAATCCAAACGAAATTCATGCAAAACGGCTTATATTTATCAAAGTTCGAATAAAAAATAGCACAAACCATCCATACATAGCATACAAATTAAGCATAGTACAACAATGCCTCAAATTCGACTAGATTCCGGATGTCTAACAAGTTTTTCATCAATAAATTATGTCGTTCCACACATACTCCCTCTTCAGCTTCATCCAACAGTGTGTGTGCACGTAGATGGTCGGTCCTCTGTCCTATGGTACTCCACGCTAGGGCGTAGCTACATATAATGTATAGACCAACATTGAGTGAATGAATCAATCAACAAGTTGAGCAAGAGGAAGCAGAACTTACAAACTCATACTCTATCGCGCACAATGACCACCTTGTCTCGAGTTGACGAACCACGTCACAAAACTTGGTGACGCTGGTCTGGATATCGACCTCACGTTGTGTTGTTGAATGATGTACATGTCACAGGGCGCAATATGCTTTTGTGCGTGAAACGTTTCATGCACTTGCTGCCATGCGCAATGTGCTTTTGCCTCCTGTTTGCTTCTGCCTACGAAATTCGCGGATATGGCCAACCACGCATCACACGACAACTCATCCTTCATGGTCGAGTAGCTCACCATCCTTCGTACTCTAAAAAATGCCATATCATTTAATTCAAAATAAGCTCAATGACATTTGACCGAACACCTGTCGGGCGTGGTGTCCTCCATAGAGGTCGTCGACAAGCGGCTGAGTGTACCTGGGTACATACGCCTCCAGGGTGGACATCTCCTCCGTAAAGGCGGGCGGGCACATCAGTGCTAGTTGCGGATGTCCAACAATGCATCTGTGGTGGCTGGAGACGTACAGCAGCGGCGGCGGACGTGGAGGGTGTGGATGCAAAGAAGGGGGAAGGGGCGAAGTGAAAGGAAATGAAACCAGAAGGCGGAATTGGGTGGGTCGGGGGTGTCGGAGCCCTACGTGTCTGCTGTTCGAACCCCCGCAAACCTCCCTCTACTTTGCATCCAATTCACTAGATAAAATGCGTTCTAACTGCCCCGCAGACCGATACAGGACCGTGTTGGATTGCTTCCACAGTCCAGATGCAGACGGTTTTCGGGTCCGGCTTAGAGATGCCCTAAGAGCATCTGTTGCCGGAATCCTCAAATTGACCGGACAGAAGCAGTATCACTGACCGGACAGAATAAAGAAGGAAAAAGTTGACCCAACTGGTTCCCTCAAAGCCTCCTTAAATGTTTGGGTTGTCCAGCACCCCTCATATTGCGCTCATATATTATACGAGTATGAGGAGTGCCCGGGCATGTCCGGTCAGTGATCCTGCGTCCGCCACATAGGATTGGGCTCACCAAGATTTTTTTTTCTTTATTATATTTTATCCCTCTCTTATTTTCCACCAATCACATGCATGTGACCGGACATATAGGAAAAAAAGTGAGGGACATGGATGTGTGGACAGACAAATGGGGAGAACACTGTGCGGACGTGTTTGTGGATGTTTGAAGGACCAAATTTTCCCGGTTGTGTTGAATAAAACATGGCAAGTGTTTGGAAATTATGTAATGGTCACATGGCAAATTAATTGTATATCATGGGCAATTATATTATTTGTAGTTCTGAAAAATCATGGAAAATTGAAAACAAATCTACACATCATGGCAACTTTTAAAAATAGTTGTTTTGTGAGAAACGAAAATTCTTGTTTAAAAAATGCACTAGTCACATGGCAATTTTTTTCTTTTCGTACATGATGGAAAATAAAATAAAAATGGTAACGGTGACAAGGCAATTTTTTTGGAAAATATGTAACAGACACCTGGCAAATTTAATTGTATATCATGGGAACTATATTGTTCATACATAAATTCTGAAAAATCATGGAAAAGTGAAATATTTTGAAAATTTTGTTCTACACATCATGGCAACTTTGGGGAAAATTGTTTTATAACACATGGCAACTTTAGAAAAAAATGTTTTGCATTGATCACATGGCAGATTTAGAATTGTTTTTATGTGTTTTCATACAAGATAGAAAATTCATAAAATGTTATGGTGTTTGGCAAATTTAGAGTTTTTTTGTTTCCGAACATGATGAAGTGTGTGATGTTCACATGGCAAATTTAGATTTTCTTGCTTCCGAACATGATGGGAAATCATAAACTGTGTATGTGATGTACACATGACAAATTCATGAAAATAATGCTATCTACATGATGACAAATGACTCACCAACTCATCCTTGTCCATGATGGCAAATGAACCTAATAGTAACCATAGCTTGGAGCTTGCTTTTGACCTGATGAGGGGACGGGCGATGCCCGCGACGCCGCCGGCGATCCAGGCGGGCGACGCTTGCGGATCAGATGGCCTCGGGCATGTGGGCGGCCGGTTCTGGGCCCTCACTGATGCCGACGACGGGGTAGCCTCCGGGTACTCGCCTACTCCGTCAGATGTGATCTGCGAGGCATTCGCTCCCGGCTACTCTATAGAGGAGGTCGCCGCACTTGTCAACGAGGTGGTTCCAAGCGATGATCCGGCAAGGCGGGCGCTGCGACCTGAGGACAAGGTGGACGTGGTTCGCTGGATTGTTCACCGACGGACGGTGGCGTCCGCGATCTGGCCATGGAGAGGCCCGATCCCCAAGGTATGTCTTCCACCCACCACTCTCTCAGATTTTTTGCCGGAGGATTGGACCTTGGTAACTAGAAAGAGTAAGAGAAAGAGACGGGCGGTGGCGCAACCGCCGGCGCCGGCGGCTGCCAGGTCGTCCGTGATCCGGGAGGCGAGGGCAGCGTGTTTGAATTTTTTGTTGGGCCAGGATGGGTCTGTGGCCCAGCATGGAGTTCCGGCAGTGGTGATGGAAGTCCGAACGGATGGGTATTCGGCCCAGGACGGCCACACCGACGTGTGTACGTATGAGCAGCCGGTCGAGACTCGTGATATCGATCGTCATCGGGGATCTGAGTTGGCGCGGGTGACTGCTCCTAGGGTTCGTTGATGTCTACTACGCAACCTTCTTCTTGTAGACTTATTGGGCCTCCAAGTGCAGAGGTTTGTAGGACAGTAGCAAATTTCCCTCAAGTGGATGACCTAAGGTTTATCAATCTGTGGGAGGCGTAGGATGAAGATGGTCTCTCTCAAACAACCCTGCAACCAAATAACAAAGAGTCTCTTGTGTCCCCAAGACACCCAATACAATGGTAAATTCTATAGGTGCACTAGTTCGGCAAAGAGAAGGTGATACAAGTGCAATATGGATGGTAGATATAGGTTTTTGTAATCTGAAATTATAAAAACAGCAAGGTAACAAGTGATAAAAGTGAGCGTAAACAGTATTGCAATGGTATGAAACAAGGTGTAGGGTTCATACTTTCACTAGTGCAAGTTATCTCAACAATAATAACATAATTGGATCATATAATTATCCCTCAATATGCAACAATGAGTCACTCCAAAGTCACTAGTAGTGGAGAACAAACAAAGAGATTATTGTAGGGTATGAAACCACCTCAAAGTTATTCTTTTCGATCAATCCATTGGACTATTCCTATAAGTGTCACAAACAGCCCTAGAGTTCGTACAAAAATAACACCTTAAGACACACATCAACCAAAACCCTAATGTCACCTAGATACTCCAATTTCACCACAAGTATGCGCGGGTATGATTATATGATATGCATCACACAATTTCAGATTCATCTATTCAAACCAACACAAAGAACTTGAAAGAGTGCCCCAAAGTTTCTATCGGAGAGTCGAGATGAAAACGTGTGCCAACCCTTATGCATAGATTCCCAAGGTCACGGAACCCGCAAGTTGATCACCAAAACATACATCAAGTAGATCAATAGAATACCCCATTGTCACCACGGGTATCCCACGCAAGACATACATCAAGTGTTCTCAAATCCTTAAAGACTCAATCCGATAAGATAAATTCAAAGGAAAAACTTAATCCATTACAAGAGAGTAGAGGGGGAGAAACATCATAAGATCCAACTATAATAGCAAAGCTCACGGTACATCAAGATCATGCCAAATCAAGCACATGAGAGAGAGAGAGATCAAACACATAGCTACCGGTACATACCCTCAGCCCCGAGGGTGAACTACTCCCTCTTCGTCATGGAGAGCGCCGGGATGATGAAGATGGCCATCGATGAAGGATTCCCCCTCTGGCAGGGTGCTGGAACAGGCTCCCGAGAGGTTTTTGGTGGCTACAGAGGCTTGCAGCGGCGGAACTCCCGATTTAGGTTAGGTTTTGGGGGTTTCTGTATTTATAGGAATTTTTGGCGTCGGTCTCACATCAGGAGGGTCTCCGAGTCGTCCACGAGATAGGGGGCGCGCCCAGTGGGTAGGGCGTGCCCTCCACCCTCGTGGATGGCTCGGGACTCTTCTGGCCCAACTCTTTCACTTCGGGGGCTTCTTTTGGTCCATAAAAATCATCAAAAATTGGCACGTCAATTGGACTCCGTTTGGTATTCCTTTTCTGTAAAACTCAAAAACAAGGAAAAAAACAGAAACTGGCACTGGGCTCTAGGTTAATAGGTTAGTCCCAAAAATC